CCCCCGCTGGTCGCCGGATGCGGCAGCGGCTGGCGACGTCATGCAGACGATCGCCGGCGATAGCTAGTGGAGGCGGGGAAGGAGTCGGGTGCGAGGTGTGGATGGTGACGGGCGTTCGGCAGCAGCGGCTGCGGTGGTGGTGACCGTGTCTGTGGTCACCGGAGGCATGACGGCTTCGGTTGGCTAGCCGAGGGCGTGGCAGACGGCTACTTCTGGCTGGCGCGGCATTGTTTGGAGGAGGGGTCAAAGACCGGCTTGGCGCAGAGAGGCGCGGCCGATGGCAGCGGAGGCCGGCTTGGCACGAGAGGCGCGGGCAGCGGAGAGGGAGGCCGGCGTGGCGCAAGAGGCGCGGCCGATGGAGGGAGGTCGGACTGGTGCGAGAGGCGCGTCCGGTGGAGGAGGCCGGCTTGGCGCGAGAGGTGCGGCCGGCGGTGAAGGAGGCGACCTCGGTGTGAGGGAGAGCTGCCGGTGGGTGTGGCGCGGTCTTTGGCGCACGAAGGCTGGCCGGCGGGGGGCACCGGTGCTGGGGTCCCACATGTCGGCAGAGCTTGAATGGTGGTGGAGCATCGAGGCACCAGCCGTGGATTCGCAAGAGGGTGGTTACCGGGCGAAAGTCCAGTCTTGGCTCCTTTGAGCCCCGACGGACGGCGGCGGCGGTCTTTCCGTCGCTTCTCTTCTTGAAGACGTCGTTTTAGCATCCCCTAGGGGGCGATCTCGTCTGGGTTCTTTTGTTGGTCTAGCGGCGGTCGGTCACGCTTAGCGGCGGCCGGTCCGGTGCTTGCCTTCTCCTGGGCTTGTGTGTTGGCGCTGTCGATGTGTGGGTGGTGGTATATTTTTTCCTTTTTCCTCGTTACGACCCTCCAGGGTTGTAATCTTGTAATTTTTTCCTGCTCTATCAATAGAACTTCGCACCGTCTCGTGCGAGTCGTTCAAAAAAAAAAAGACATGAGGAAGTATCTTGCAGGTTGCAGCGCAATGATAATTCAGAAACTGATACAAACACAAAAGAGTAGCAGGAAGGAATGAGTAGGGAGTCGCTTTGCTTTAAAAAAAATGATAGAGCTTTCGCCGAAATATATAAAAAATGGAATTAACGAGGAATCGCCGTACCCATGGGGATCATTATAGTCACTAATGACTCAGCTTGTTGTGGATTAATCAACATGGTTCGTTAGATAATTCTGCATGATTATTGTATAGCCTCAGGCTAAACGTCAAGAGCAGCTCCCTTTCCCCACCTGCGTTTTGCCATTTTCCTGTTCCAAACAATGATTGGCCGGCTGATCGACAAAGAACAAGGACAACAAAATGTGATGAAAAAGAAGAGCTAAATGCGAGATCATATGGGTGAGTAGTCTCTTAAATTTGTAACATTGTGTGACAGAAACTCATCCACCACCATATATCATTCGATTTCTATGCGTGGGCGATGTGTATCAGATCATCATTGTCTGAACTTTTTTTTACTCTCTCCTAGTTTTGTTTTTGCATGATGCCCATGATCGATAGGTCACTTGCTCTTGTATATGCATGCAATGTATATACAATATAGTACTAATGTCAAATTTAAAATTCAGAACGTAACGTGTACAACATAAGCCAAGCAAGTATGTATTTTGAAAGCTCTGAAAAGATAAGGAAGGGAAGAAAGCATATTCCAGTTCAGATTAGACTACTGAGGTATTAGTCATGAATAAGTTATTTTCTGAAGCAAACAAAAAAAATGAAGCAAAGTCATGAATAAGTTGTGGGATGAATATCATTTTAAGCCGCGTGAGGTGCGAGCTTAACCAACCCTAGCTATGATGTTGTAAAATTAAGGTGCTACTAAAACAAATTCATGGAAGAATATCAACCATATGTACCCCTTTTTAAAAAAATTTACTTATCGTTCTAACAAATATTACATTAAATTAGGAAGTATGGCAAATTACATTAATACTCTACACAATCATCTTTTTCGCAGCAAACACTAAATTTTATTGGAAGAGTGCTAGTACTAGCATGCTACATTGATGAAATTAAGGTAAGAAAGAAAAGCATCTCTAAAAATGTTTTGGAATATGAGAACGATAATTATTTTAATAAAAAATAATGTTAAAAAACAACGAGTAAATTAAAACAGAGTATAGAGTATAGTGTTTTAGATGTGTTGCAGCTTCAAGTCTGAGAGGGAAGGCAATCATACCCTATGAAAAATGAATGGGATTTAGTGTTACATGTTCGCGTAAAATCATAAAGAACACTGTGATCTATATGTATAATCAAATGTGATATGGAATTAATAACACAAGCAAGATAAAGCATTAGATATTTAAAAGGTCAAACTGAATATTGACAAACGTATGTGAGATAAACAGACAACATATGTTGTGATTTTTTAACCAGTTATAAGAGGTGTGATACCGAACACAAGTTGCTCAAGTTGAGACCAAAAACTCTATAGGTCTCAACCTCCCTATCCTGAGTCTATATACTAGGCACAATACTTAAAACACGTGTTAGAAAAATAGTTATATGTATGTGCTTAGTAGAAAAATAATAGTTAGTTGTAGATACGAGAATACGAGATGGCCAGATGGATAAACATGTACAGCTAATTAAATTGGTCTCCACGCTCCATTCTCAGTTTGTTTCTATAGGACATCTTTTCATTATAAAAAGTCTTTAAGACTAAACTTTAATTGTTGGTTCTCCATTACCTACAAAACTAATATATGGAAAACACTTAATTAATAGAAATATAAATCTGTTGATATATTTTTACATTAAATTAGTAATTTGATTAATCATTGGCCAAATGTATAAGATTAGATTTTTCCAATGGGTGGTGCAACGATTCTATAAACTATGCTTTATGAAGGTCGAAGGCTTTTTTTTTTTTGCTAAAAGGCGCAATAATTTTCAGGTGTAAATCTTTAAATGCCCTAACTGAGAAATACTTCTATTGGATATATAATAAGTCTTTTCATCCATCACGATGAATATAATTTAACAACAAAATAAGATAGAGATCCTTAAGTAGAAATTGAGAGGCGTGCATCATATTTTTTTAATGATAAATCCCCTCCAGTTTTGAATAGATAACATCGTTGACTTTTTAACATGCGTTTATTGATCATTTTATTTAGAAATTTTACGCAATTATGCGAAAATGTAAGTCATACTTAGAATATCTTTACCAAGAAATCAAGTCATGGGAAAATAAATAATAATTCTGTAACTTTTTAAATACGACGAATGATTAAATATGTATTTAAAAAGTCAATGACGTAGATAGTAATAAATTATGGTACTCCGGACTAAAATATCTCAAAAAGTTAATCTTATGTCCTTATCGCTGCTAAAGAAATCGGATGTTCTGATTATTATTATTAGAAAAACTGAAAAGGATTTGGTAAACCTGCACAATAGCATGAGCCAGTACATCTATCTCATTGTAACTGTAGTTGAACAGACCTGGCAGATACAAAGATTCCCAACATATCCCTCCCTATCCAAATAATCGTGCTTATCTCTTATGTGATTCCGCTTTTTGACCGCTAGACAACATTCAAAACAAAAGCTCTACTCTCTTATAGCGATGCCCACCCATTTCTCACAAATATCATGCAAAAAGCTATAAAAATTGTGAAACCTTTTAACATCATTAATAGAATATGCAAAGACCATTCTCTAAAAGAAGGGTAATACACCATTCAGCGAAAATGGGTCTATATTAGATTTGATATATACGTACAGAATAAAATCTGACTACAAATAATAAATAGATAATGCTGATGATTTTGATACATAATATTTGACTATTCATCATACTAGTTTCGTTTATTTTGTTATGACTTATTTTATTATTATACTTTAAACATTACTTATATCTTTGTATATTTTACACTGAATGTTTGAAAGATCAAACATTATGTAAAAAAAAAGTCAACAACATCATCTACTAAAAACAGAAGAAATATGCTAGTAGATATATTGAAAATCTTATACATATATTTACTTCTAATCCCTCTATTTCCGAATATAAGTACTACGTATGTACCAAAATATATTACTCCCCCCGGTTCCATAATTCTTGATATTTTAGATAATGACTCAATCTCCAAAATATATCTTTGATCCTGTTTTTCTATTATAATATATACAATCAATAAATACATGTTTACTTTTACTATAGTATTTTAAAAGATAAATCTATATATGTCATTCTAGTTCTTTAGACATTTAAATAATTTTAAAGATATTGATATTCAAAGTTACAAAAAAATTGACCTCAAACTTATCCAGAACGTCAAAAATTATGAAATGAAACCAGAGAGAGTAACTTTTTTTGGGGGATGGAGGTAGTATTTCTAAGATTTAAATTTTGTAGACAATATAAGCATTTATAGGACACTTCAATGTACATGAATCTAAGCAAGCCAAATTTTCAAATTTGACCAATAAGATAACTGAAAAAAAATGCCTTTTACTCTCTTTGTACTCGAGATTTATTTTTTACTTAAACAACCTAAAAATGCTTATTTCTATGAACGGAGGGAGTAATAATTTGAGAAGTGAAAGCATGTAGTTCTATTTTGCATAGCTCTAGCTCTAACTCTATCTCTTCTGGAGCTGAAGTCCAGCCAAATAATTTTTAGTCCACTCACCTAAAGCACTATCATAAAATAAACTAGAAATGTGTAACTGGGTTTAGGTTGTGAAAACTTCACTACAGATCCAACTACTAAACCTAAATTTAGAAGTTCGACCTTAACTAATTACCAAACAGATCGTACCCCACCATAAGAATCCCTCTACAGTCAAAAGTGCTTTTATCCTCCGCTGTCACCGTGTCACCGCCAGTCCGCCAGTCGAGAGTCGACCACCCTCTCCCCCTTTTTCCGCTCACCGCACGCGCCATGCGAATGCATGCATCGATCAGCGTCGATCCGTCAATCCATCCACCGCTGGTTAACAGTGCGCATGAACATGCGCGGGACGGGAGACTCCTTTTGTTTGTCACTTTCCGCCCTCCTCGCCTATTTAAGCCGTCTCCCTCTTCCCCGCCTGAAGTTTCTTCCCTTCGTCCTCGTCTCCTCGACCTCACCACCCGTCCATCCCTACCTACCTCCCTACGGATTGGTCGCCATGCTAGAGAACCAGAGGCAAGCGGAGGTATGTACCTAGCTAGCTTAGCTAGCTTGACGAGGTCGGTGTGAGATTTGGTAGCTCACGTTTGATAGCTGATTCGTGTGTTTGTGTGTGGCTAGGTTCTTTGGCCGAGGCTGGTGGCGAACAAGCTCTTCAGGAAGCCATCCGGCAGCCATGCCTTCGTCGCCGACTTCCCGATGGCCGTTGATGACGACTTCGATGGCGAGGCGGTGCCGGCGGCGGTGGAGTCGTTCGACGACGATGGTTGCAGCCCCGACGCCGACGCCTGCCGCAGCGTGAAGCGGCCGCGGCCGCGGCCGCAGCAGCGAGCGAGCAACAAGACGCTCAAGTACAGGTACATATGGCGCTCGATCGGTCAAGCTTTCATTACGATGTAGCAGCGCGCCGCGCCAGCCATTAGTTGGCTTGGACTACTCATGGCGTCTTGATTAATTAGTCGATCTCACTCGCGACGTCGTCGTCTCGTCTGCAGGCTGTTCGCGAGCACGTGGAACGTCGGCGGCGTCGCGCCACCGGACGACCTCGACCTGTCGGACTGGCTCGACACGAGGAACGCCGCCTACGACATCTACGTCCTCGGGTAAGCAACCATAAGTGCAGTAGTGGAGCTCGATCATGCCGGTGGCGGCCATCAATAGCTGATCATGGATTCATGGTCGCAAATGGCGCATGCAGATTCCAGGAGGTGGTGCCGTTGAGCGCGCGGAACGTGCTGGGCGCGGACAAGAAGCGCGTCGGGATGCGCTGGAACGAGCTCGTGCGCGCGGCGCTGAACCGGTCGTCGCCGTCGGCGCCGAACTCCTCCCGTGACCAGAGAGAGGCCAAGGGCACCGGCGGCGGCGCAGCCGCAGCCGCAGCCGGAGGAGGGGAGATAAAGCAGCAGGCGGCGCAGCAGAAGGTTCACCCGGTGCGGGGCGGCATCGGCGGCGGTGGCGGCGAGCTCGCCTGCAGGGACTACCGGTGCGTGGTGAGCAAGCAGATGGTCGGCATCCTCCTCACCGTCTGGGTCCGCGCCGACCTCGCCCGCTTCGTCCGCCGCGCCAGCGTCTCCTGCGTCGGCTGCGGCGTCATGGGCTGCCTCGGCAACAAGGTACCCTACCCCTGACCTATCATTCCGCCATTGCTCACCACACGCCACGCGCGCGCGCGCGCGCGGCGAGCCGCGCCGCGAGGGGAATGAATTGTACCTAACACGCACGGCATCGATGGATCGCCACGGGTGCATGGCTGTGCCTGGACGTGCAGGGCGCCGTGTCCGTCAGGTTCTGGCTCCACGACACGAGCTTCTGCGTGGCGTGCTGCCACCTCGCGTCCGGCGGCCGCGACGGCGACGAGGCGCACCGCAACGCCGACGCCACGGAGATCCTCTCCCGGACGACCTTCCCCCGGGGGCACTCGCTCAACCTCCCCCAGAAGATTCTAGACCACGAGTAAGCAAACGCACACACCCCTCCCACTTGATCATTCATCGACCTCTTCAAAATCCTATTTTTCCTTTCATTTTTGACCCAAATTAAAACACATTTTTTTGTGCACGCTGAAAATCGAAGCATACTAGAATTGCAGGGAAGAAACACATCGCTGTCGCTGACTAATTAAAGAGCTGGAAATAAGAAGCATTGAGCTGACTGACAGACACCCAAGCATGCATGTATATCCGTCAGCTAAATTACCATACAGCGACCGTTGTTACGGCCTGTGCACACGACGGCAACCGTACTAATTTAATCCGGTGGTTGAACCGTCCACGGTACCGGTAAAAATCGAGGATTAGGTATTGCTGTATCTAGGATTTGCGTAGCATAAGATACTAGTCATTAGCGGTAATAGTTGCATACGTAGCATACAGTAGACAATTAGGCACAGTAAATTAATTAACTTCTTCCAAGCACTACAAATATCTGCCGTATCGTCGACTGTTTTATATACCGACACCGGTAGTCAACAACGTAGTATAAAATCGCATCGATTTTAGACGGTAATTAACTAGTGGCAATTAACATGCTTTTGATCGTTCGTTTAGTTTCTTTCACCGGCCTTCATGACGACGACATTTCAAATCAAAGCAATCATCAGGCATTCAGGCGGGCTTTGACTAATCTGAATATCTGACGGATGATTAATGATTGATTCTTCGTTTACTCCTGTGGATGCAGCCGAGTGATCCTGCTTGGGGACCTCAACTACAGGATCTCCCTGCCGGAGGCGAAGACGAGGTTGCTGGTGGAGAGGCAGGACTGGAAGACGCTGCTCGAAAATGACCAGGCATGCAACACGCATGAATCCAAATCAATCAATCAATCAATCTCCAAATTAAATTAGTACCAATCATACTGAACGTGTTGTTGATTCTGAATAATTTGCAGCTGCGAAGCGAGGTGGAATCGGAAGGAGGCGCATTCCATGGCTGGAACGAGGGTGCCATCGCCTTCTCGCCGACGTACAAGTACTACCCCAACTCCGACACCTACTACGGCTGCGCCTCCCATGGCAGGAAAGGCGAGAAGCGGCGCGCGCCGGCGTGGTAAGCCAGAGAAAGAAAGAAAAAGAAAAACGGCTGAAATAGCGTGAGATTCCGGCGAGATCCGCGGCTAACCGGCGGCCGCCGCCGTTCTTTTTTTTTTTCTTTTCAGGTGTGACCGGATACTATGGCGCGGCGCCGGGCTGAAGCAGAAGCGGTACGACCGGTGCGAGTCGCGGCTGTCGGACCACCGGCCGGTGAGGGCGCTGTTCGAGGTGGAGGTGGGGGCGCCGAGGAGGAACCTCAACTCGCTGCGGAGCTTCTTCCTGTCGGAGAGGTTCGACGGCGGGAGGAGCGCCGCCGCCGACCTGCTCCGGGAGGATGGCACCGCCAGCAGCGCGAGATTCGGCGACACCATTTGATGCTTTCTTGCAGATAAACAGAGAGAGGATCAGTGGAAGAAGAGGATGAGAGATCTAGAGAAAGAGAATCAGAGAGACAGAGAGGGTGTAATGTAAATTGATTATTCTGTCCTGAGTAAATGTTCGTATATAATCTGCAGTATAGCTAGGATACAGACTGTTCCTGACTTCCTGTAACTATACATATGTACTCTTCATGATCAGAAATTCACAATACCAGATCAATTTGTCTAGAATTTGCTTGGATGAACAGCTAAACACAAATTCACTGTGAAACCACCTTAGGGAGGATTAGATTTGTGCATACGTGGCCATGAAGCAAGTGTAAATAGAGGCTGGCGTCAACGTTACGTTTCATTGGGCGTTGTTTTTGGCTGCTTCAGGGCTTGTAAGCTTAACAAATGAATGGAAGAACAATGCAAGTGGCGAGTATCTTAATGGAATGAAGAACAGCTAAAGCAAGTGTGCTTCAAATCGCAAAACAAGTGGGATACAATTTATGAGGTGAGACAAATTCAGCGCCATAATTCCGTCAGACCTTGGGTATTCTGAACCTCTAATAATCTTCTTATTCTATATATCCGGCATTGGATTTAGCTGTACATGTGTACACAGTAATACCTTCCAAAAGAGCTATTGTGGCATTGTCATGGCCTCATGGACCATCCCAAATTGCTCACTACACACACTTACTAGTGGTGGTCAGTCTCAATCCACCACCCTAAATTCAAGGGTTCTGCTAAGACTGTCCCCTCTTCTTGTTTTCTGCTGCTTGTTCCTTCTATTTGTCAGTATTCTGCAGAACAAATGAAGTGATCCAAGACAAGGCTGCTGACTATAGGTTGCTATCTTGATTCTTGCAGAGTGAGAGACATCCATTGATCTTGTAAATCTATTTTATTATCCCATTTATTTTTTAAGAAAAATCCATTTTTCACCTGCATCTTGTGATAAACATATTTGTAGCTGTATTAGAACATGAATGATTAGGTTACTTCATCAAGACTGTACCTCCAAATATGAAAACACCTGAAGTTTTCTTCAGAAATAAGGTCATATAGGACTATAGGAGTATCTGATGTACATCCACATTCGAAGGTAGACAATGTGTGTACAGTTTTTCTTTTTTTTTTTGGGAGAACTACAATGTGTGTACAGTTGTTTATCGGGAGTGGATTTTAATCCCTCGAGGGGCCCCTCATTATTTGCATGTCACTCAAATAGTTATAAAAAAATTATGAAAATATATTAACATGTGATGTATCACTCCACAAACATGCAAGTTCAAATTCAACTTCCACATCTCGTAACGAAAAAAAAAATTTAACTTTGAATGTATATTAACTTGTTTTTTCGTTGCGAGATGTGGAAGTTGAATTTGAACTTGTATAATTGTGGAGTGATACATCACATGTTAATACATCTTCTCAATTTTCATAACTATTTGAGTGACATGCAAATAACGATAAGACATCCCCTTAAGGATCAAAATAGTTTGCCCAGTTTATCAACATTTTTCCGCCCTTGTCGTCATAGTTTCAACTTTCAACTCTGCAGTTTGATTGATGAATAATTGATATTTGGTCCTAAACAAGGGGTATCCCAGAAGATTCTTCTCAGCACAGAAAGTAATTAAATCAAGTTTTTTCAAAAAAGAAATAACTAAATTACAGTAGCACTGGACCACTGGCCATGCTTCCACTTGATAACCACATTAAGCTCTTATCGTTTCTGATAAAAGAAATTAGCAATCATCTTACATCATCACCTAACACCTGCTAAACCATATGGGTCCAATTTTATTCAAGGGAAATGGCGAAATCATTAGATCGATGAGAACAGAGCGCCGTTGATGGACATATGAATAAGTAACTAGATAATGTTTCTATATTGTGTTAATCATCAAGCTTAAAAAGTCCATTCAGTACAAAAGAACTTTCTTGTTAGTGAATATTGCAGTCCTAATCCCTCAACAATCACATCAGCAAATCAGCCGTGAGATGAAGCTCACGAACAAGTTGCATTCTTTTTTATGTGTTCCCAACGAGAGCTTCATTTTACTATACATGTTTCAGCCATATTGAATGGCATAGCATGTACATGACAAATACCATCTTTCATCGGTGACATCAGGCGAGATTACGAGCATATTTTTACAGGAGACAAGACTCCTATCAGATTGTGCAAGTGGATTTGTCTGAAGAATGGCAAGTTGGTAGGCCCTGCCTAATCTTCAGGCTGGCTCTTAGGTCAACTCCCTCTCTGCCTCTCACAAGTCACAACCATGCTGAGCAAACAAGGAAGACAGTTCTGCGAGACTGCAACTTGGCAGAGGAAAGAAGCGGTCTAGAGAAGTCTGAATTCTTCTTTGCCTTCCCTAGAAAATATCCTGCTACAGCCATACAGGTAGTCCAATGTCGCATGATGTCTCGCAATGTGCCAACCAGACGCTACAAAAGCACTCGAAGCTGAGTATGCAACTTATTGAGCTTGAGTTCAGAGCAATGACAACATTGGTCTACAAAAAATATGGCAGTTTAACCGTGCAAGGAGCAAACCTTATGAACTTGCATGATTGAAAGATATGAACTTTGAAGTACAAGGTAATGTCATATACAAATACAAGTGGAAACCGTAGAGTTGTCAAAAAAAAAAAAAAGCGGGGGGGGGGGGGGGGGGGGGCGCAACCAATGCCACTGTGTAAGTGTTACATCGCCTTGAAAATCCTTGCGAAGCTTCTGGATGCTTTCCTGTCAGGGGAAGTGCGTGTTCTGGTGGAGAGTAGAGTAGAAGGATAAGACAAGGGCGCCAGGGGTTCAACCGTGCTGACATGCAGTCCATTGGGCCATTGCAAAAAATGAATATGGGGTGTTTAGATTCAGTGGTGTAAAGTTTTAGCGTGTCATATCGGGTATTATATAGGGTATCGCATGGGGTGTTCGGACACTAATAAAAAAACTAATTACAGTATCCGTTAGTAAACCGCGAGACGGATTTATTAAGCCTAATTAATCCACCATTAGCACATGTTTACTATAGCACCACATTGTCAAATCATGGAGCAATTAGGCTTAAAGATTCGTCTTACAAAGTAGTCACAATATGTGCAATTACTTTATGCAGGTGTTCAAACGTACGATGTGACAAGGTATAAAATTTTCGGGTGGGATCTAAATATTAAGTGACTCCTCCCCTTCCTTTCCTCTGTATAGGTGAGCTTCCACGTGCGCTCCTCTAAAACCTTGGGTACCGGCTGGTACCTAGGTATTAGACCTTGATACCTGGGTACCAGGCCTGATACTTGTGAGTATCAGTCGTGATTCCCCGAGATACCCCCGAGGGTTGATGACTGATACTTGATGGAGAAGGCCACGGTGCGGACCTTGAAGGTGGTGAGGGCTGGCCAGAAGCCGGCGGACTGACATAAATAATTTTGCCGGCCGATGACACCAAAATGGAGCCTAATCCCTTGCCACCAGCCGCCACCACCACCACCTACCGCCGTCGCAGCAAGCCCAATCCCATGCGCAAGGCGACCAAGCCTCCCTCGCCATCCCCGTTGCCCAAGCGCCAGGCCCGGGGCGACTTGCCTCCCCCGCACACGGGGCCCCTCACCTGCGCCGGCCACCACTCGCCACTCAACCCCGGCCCCGCGCTGGAGGATGCGCCCCAGCTCCACGGCGGGGAGCGCGAGGCGCCTCCCTGTGCTCAGATAGAGGCAGCAAAGCTTTCGCTGGTGAGCGAAGAAGTGGAGGCCGCCTTGTTGCGCGGAGCAGGCGTCCACGTCGTCCCCTCCTTCGGCGTCAAGCCCCCCGACTCCATCTCCTGGATTGCGTCCTCCATGAGGGCGAGCTCCCCCGTGGCACCGGAGCAGGAGTCGGCGTACTGCGGCGCAGCCCTTTGTCACGCCCCGAACTAGTACCGACCGGAACTAGCCCGTGACGCTCCAAATTAACCTGTTAATCGATACCAGTCCCAGGACACAGTGCTGGTATCACAAGAAGACAGATTATCACAGCAACAGATGTCTCTTTATTATAGAGTAGAGGTACAGTCATGTTGGGCTGCGGACAGATCCCGAGCTCACAACTGCATTACAAAAGGGAAGCGGAAGCCAGGACTTGGACCAAACAACACAGGCGCGACTTGGGAACTAGGCCGAAACCCTAAAACTCATCGTAGCCGGCTTGCTCCTGGAAGAACTCCTCATCAGCAGGATCCACTTCATCTTCTTCAGCAACTGGGGGGGATTATTTATATAGAGCAAGGGTGAGTACGGGAGTACTCAGCAAGCCATGGGAAATAAGTGTTTAATGCAGGCTTCAAGGAAAGGCTGTTGTTTTTACAATTGATTTTATTTGAACTCCTTTCTGAAAACAACTAAGTGAGTGCTTCTCAAACGACACGGATGAGACAGTGCGTCTCGTCCGGTCGGAGTTTGTACAATGTATCAGTCTTTAGAATTGATCAAGATTGGCACCCGGCCAACAACTTTCAAACGGCCACCCGGGCCAACAACTTTCAAACGGCCACCCGGGCCTAGCTGATCCCGTCAGCTGCAGATTTTTCAAACATCGAACCCCTTTTCACAACAGCAATTTCACAAGCAGTAGTCAAACAAAACTACGCTAGGAATCACCTCACATCCGCCCATGACCGTGGGCACGGCTGTTCGAACAGTTTGTTAACCTCTGCAGAGGGGGGGTACACTTTACCCACACGACATTACTAACCCGGATCACCCAGCCCGTGGGAATCAGCCACGTCGGGAGACCTCCAAGCTTTCATGACAAGGCATTTCCAAAGCCGACACAGGTTTACCATATGCCGACGAGAGGGGTCCCAGACCAACAACAGGTTAGGTCCCAGACCCTACTGTGCCAGGAAGCCCAGTGGTCCTCCCCGACACCACCCCAGCGAATCCACATGTCTCTCGGCATCAAGGCTCCCCTGATAAGCTAGTTACTCAGCCAGGGGTGTCCCATTTCACCCATGTGGTCGTACTTGTCTTATGTTTGGATGAAATTCCAAGGAAACGGTCCTTAAGTGCAAGAGCGGGAAACCGTACACCCGGTACGTTCCCCGGTCCGCGGTTTTGGAAATTCATTTAGTTCGCAAGCACCGACCCAGGTGTCGGGTTTTCCAAGTCTTTTGTAAAACCCTAGTTTTACCCAAGTTGTTACTCAGATTTTAAGTTTGAAGGCGTCCGTCGATACTCGCACAGGGTGCACGAATATCGAGACGCAACTAGATGGTTACAAGGGGACATGATATATCAATTAACAAAGGAAGGATCAAATGCAACAAATTAGGTAGGTCCGCCAATCTGCCTTGCAGACGGGACAACAGATTAAGTGCGATCCTATCAATGCATAATATTTTTCAAGCAACATAATTAAATTTCAAATATAGGCTCAAGATGTTCAAAGGTGGCTTGCCTTGCTCGAGATCTGGAGCTTGATCCTCGAAATCCTCGCACTGCGGGTCTTCGGGCTCCGAAACTACACGCGAAACGGGACAACTCAACAAACATCAAAAATAAAGCCCTATTAATGACCTCTAAGCGTGCCATTAGATAGATCTCGAGATTTGAGGAATTTTGGAAGTTGAACGGAGTCAAACGGATTTACGGTTGGGAAGATATTGAATTTCTAAGATTATTGGATTTTTGGTCTAAAGGAAAAGGATTTAATTAAATCCTTTTTGAAAAAGAAAAGAAAAGAAAAGAAAAGAGGGAGGGAAAATAGACTAAAGCGCGCGCGCGGGAGGGGAGGAGACAGAGGGCCGGTGGACCGGGCTCACCACACGTGGTCCCGGGTGGGACCCGCTTGTCGATGACACGGTTCACCGTGCGGAGCGAGCACGCGGCGCACGCGCGCGGGCGGGGAAGGGATGCGGTGCACGCGCGTGGTTCGCGGTGGAACGGATGCGGCGGGCCCTCGCGCAGCCTCACGGCTCACGGTGGAACGCGCGCACGAGAGGGGCTGACCGGGGTCGGCCCGATCCGATCTCGGCCGAGCTGGCGCCGACGTGTCGCCTACGTGGCTGCCACACGGGCTGGCGGGAGGAAGACGAAGGCGCCGGCCGCGAATGGACGGCGGGCGGCGGCGGTTTCTCCGGGACGCCTTGCGACGATGGGGGGCGACGGGGCGTACACCGGGATGACGAGGGAGAAAGAGAGGGAGCGAGCCAACGGCTTAGATTCGCCGGAGGGAGTCCGTCGGCGGCGGATTGCGGCGGCGGCGCCCGGCGGAGAGGAAAGGGGGAAACGGCGACGAGGTCACGAGGGGCCAATTCCCGGCGGTGAGAGCATCTACGCAGCTACGGGAATCCGTTGCTAGCGTCGGATTGGGCGGAGCTACGCCGAGCGAGGTCGGCGACGAGCGGGTACTACGGAGCACGGGCGGCGACGGCGGCGAGCACACTGCGAGCGGCGGCAACGGTCGGGGCGGCGCCGGCTAGCTACGGGGAGGCTACTCGTGCTACTACCGAAAACTAAGGGGGGAGATGGAGCGAGGAGGAAGAACAGAGGGAGGCATTACCGAGACGAGGTGGGGCGCAGTGACGAGAGGCCGACGGCGCGGGAGTAATCTCTCCGGCCTCGGGCCGGGGAAGAGGAGGAAGACGAGCGCCCAGAGTCCCCTTCCGCGTCCACGAACGCACCGGCTCTCCCGGCGCTTGGCGATGAACGGCGGAGGCGAGACAGAGCTCGGAAGGCGGCGGCAATGGCGCGGACGAGAAACGGGGAGGATTGGGGGGGAAAGAGGAAGGGAGGGCGCCTGGGTTTAAAGGGCGGCAATGTCGGTTTGGAAACCTACTTTGGGCGGTCAAGGCGCGAGCTGGCGCTCGGCGCTTGCGGCCAAATCGGCGACAGGGCGGAGGGAGGATGACGCCGGCGGGAGGAAAAGGGGAAAAGGAGGGAGAGAAAGGGGGCTCGCCCCTTGCTTCTTTGGGAAAAGGAGGAGGGGAGCGGGGGCGTCGCGGCAGAGGGAGGAGGGGCTCTGCCTCCGTCCCTTGGCGGCTTGCGCGCGGAGTGGCGGGGCCGAGGTGATGACGACGGCGATGACGGCGGGGCGGTTTGGAGCGGAGCGGCGACACGGGCGACAGGCGCGGGCAGGCGCGGCAGAGGGTGACGGCGGCGGCGACCAGGCGGTCGGCCACCACGGCACGCGCGCGCGGGATGCAACGGGAGGCGCGGCGGTTTGAGTGGCGCGGCTCGGGCACGCGCGCTGGCGGCGGAGCCGAGCGGCTGCGCGGCTGCAGGCGGCAGGGCAACGGGACCGGGTGACGCAGACGGCGCAGACGGCGCGGCACGGGCGGCAATCCCGCGGGCGCGCGCGCGAACAACGGCGCGCGGGGGCCGGCTTCGCGGGCGGGGAGCTCGCCAGGGATGGGGAGAAGGAGAGCGAGGGGGTGGGGGCGCTCGGCGCGGCGCTCGTGCACGCGCGGGCAGAGCGAAGGGAAGGGAGGGCGCTCGGCGCGAGCGGCTCACGCGCACGCGCGCGGGCAGAGCGGAGGGGGAGGGAGAGAGGGAGAGAGAGAGAGCGCCGGGAGGGAGGGGGAGATGGGCCGAGAGAGATTCGGCCCATCGACCCCGGGGGAGGCAAAATAGACTTTTGCGGAGGGATTTGATTTGGAAGGATTTGGATCCGGAATTGAACTCGACGATAGATCGGGGATTTGAGATCTTGAGATGGCACGGACACTAGACAACAAGCAAAGAAACAAATTTCGCAATTAGGGTTTTTAAGAGATAATTTTCCCGCTAGGCGCCACGACGGAACGGGCGCTACACCCTTGGGACATGGCGGAGGAGAAAGGGAGATAGAGGGGAGTGAGGGAGACGGCGTCCTGGACGAAAATGCTGTAGGAGGGAGTGGATAAGGAAGAGACGGATGAGGAAGAGGAGAGGACAATGCGGTTGCGGGGAGGCAGCAGCCAGCGGCGACCATCAGCGCCGGCAGGCCGACGGATGTAACAGAGGGCTGCGTTCCCCCGGCGGTAGTAGGAGGAGAGTGCTGTGGTGTGGGCGGGGCCGGCGCAAGGCAACGGGCTGACAGCGTTGGACGTGAACCGGCGGCCTGGTGGGTGCAGGCGGTTGCGGCCCAGGCGGAGGAGGAGACGGCAGGGACGGATCCCCCCCAGACCCTGTGCCACACTGACGATGGGAAGGAGGGGACAGCTGCACCACGGTCCATGGTGCAGGCCCGCACACTCCAGATCGATCTGCTACTGAAGTTGCTTGATGCGACAAAGAACTTTGCCGACCGAGGAGACCGAGATCGATCCCTCTTGACAACAACAACGCAGATGGACGACAACCAGCCGCCTAGAAGATCAATTCCTCCCGGGTGACGGTGCAGACAACGAAAAAAAAAGAAAAATTGGTGGCCACCCCCGGGAGATCAGAACCCTCCCGGGGGCGATGGCGGCGGAAGCGTGAGAGAGGCGACTAGATCACCCGCTCTGATATCATGTTTGATAGTATAGGGAGAGAGGAATACGATCAATTGTATTGAGCCTCAGGGGGCCAGTATATATAGGAGTACATAAGAAGGAGATAAGGAATGATTCCACACAAATCAATCCTATCATAATATGACTCTAACTATCATATACTCTAATAGGTAGGTTGTTATTAACTATCCATTTAGACGGGATTCCGTTTTGTAGATTTTCTGAAAAAGAAAAGAAAAAGGTGATACGTGACTAGGGTGCAAGGATGAATTCCAGAATGTGCTGTTAGGACACCTGTTAGAAGTTAATTAGTTAAGGCTGTAGAAGTATACAGTGACGACCTTTTCTTTCAGTCCATGAGATTTCCTCTCTATCTTCCCTGAGGGTGTGTTTGAAGAGAAGGGGATTAAAAAGATTAGGAAGATACGCAAAACATGGTGAGCCATTAGCATATGATTAATTGAGTATTAATTATTTTAAACTTTAAAAAGGATTAATATGATTTTTTAAAGCAACTTTCCTATAGAAATTTTTTTAAAAAACACACCGTTTAGTAGTTCGGAAAGCATGCGCACGGAAAACGAAACAATCTTTCTTCCTTTCTCCTGCGCTCGAACGCAGCCTTAAGATCAGTGACCAACTCAGGGCAAAAATCGAGACTGTATAAAGCAGGCTTTGCGTCAGGTTGCTAATGGAGCATCATCTACCCTTATTCGGACATGTACAAGTACAACGTATAACCCAAAAAACCGGCCAAATCGGCGGGAGAAGATAGAGAGAGGCCAGTTTGCGGACCTTCCCATCGCGCGTAGCCACCGGCCCACCGCCAGTCCGTCGCGGGCAGATCACCAGGGGCGACAGCTACTGGCACCGCACGGCGTCGGCTCGGAGGCAAGACGGCAAAACCACCCCCATCGGATCGTGCAGGACGGAACGAATGCACGATCCCGATCGAGATCTCCTCTTGTAAGCCTGTCTCTAGGCCCAATAGTTCATAAGGCTGGACCGGGCCGTGCGCGGGGCGTGCCAAGCCGATTGTGGTTGTCCCGGCTTGATTAGCTCGTAAGTCTCCTCCTTGTCAAATCAATGCGTGCGCCCTCGATCGGGAAACGGAGGCATAAGGGGCGGGCCCATTGTAACGAGAGCTGCTATAAAACGGGATCCCGTTACAACGGAATAAGGCATATTAATTATTCTCTTACATGAGTATCATATATATTAGGTCCTAGGTATCACAGGTACCGGGTAATAGGTATCATAGGTATCAGGTATCATACAGCTGGTACCACAACAGGTATAATGTACTATCTCATAAAAGGTATCTCATAAAAGGTACTATCGGGATATCGTTGTCTAGGTTTTCTGTATATGTATATACAGGAAAAAAAAAACCTATACCCATTCAAAACTTAAAAGAAAACTAAACTGAACCCTCCCACCACCCAACATTTCAGGCCTATTAGCCCAATAGCAAATAAAAGCCCACATTTTTAACCCTGTCTCTTCTCCTCACCTCCCCTTCCCATCCCAACCGGTCAACCCTCCCCACCCCAGCCGCCAGTCGCCAGGCGCCCCGCCCAGGCCGACGCGCACGCGCCGTCGCCGTCGCCGTCGCCGTCGCCGCGCCAGCCCAGCCGCCCGCGCTCCTCGCGCCTCGCCGTCGCCCAGCTGTTGAGCTGCCTGCGCGCCTCGCCGGCTCGCCGTCGCCGGTCCCGCCGTCCCGGTCACCCCCGCCCCGTCGCCCGCGGCGGCGCGGCCCGCCGGCCGCCGCGCGCACTCCCGCGTCGCGCCGTGCGCACGTGCCGCCGCCCGCCGACGCCGCCTCGGCGCCTCCTGCCCTCCTCCCGACCTCCCGTCCTCCGGCCTGCAGCGCAGCAGCGGTGAGGAAATAGGAGTTGTCGAACTGAAACTGACTAATGAGGATATTGCTTGAATGCTTGATGAGTGTGATTGACTGATTGTGTGATTGTGTGAAGTGTATTGGTTATTTTAGCTTCATAGCTTGTGAAATGTGAATGACTATCTAGATTAGGATTTAGGAACCAGTGCTGCTTTGCTCAATTGCTCTTTGATATTGTTGTTTGTAGGTTTGAAACATGAAGAGAAAAAAAGGTCCCATGGTTAATTTAAAGAGTTTTGTATGCTCTATAAATTTGATATGTTTTGTCAATTAATAGTTTAGTACTGTACTCTAATATGCTTAACGCATTCAATTTATGGTCAATTCTATCCATTTATGACTTTATGAAATCATGTTTATACCGTTACATATTATACAACTATTAGATCTTGGGTTGGAAAAATTTTTCTATCTTTTACAATTTCGAATAGCCAAGTTGAAAAACCTGGGCCGCCCCTGGAGGCAAGGTAGCCGGATCCGTCATGTGCGGCTGTGCTCCTGCGCCCACATCGCCGGGCGGCTGCCTCGACCCCTCCCGTGATCTCCTCGTGCCAATAACCTGACCAGCAAATCAACAGGTAGCGAGGACACACACTGATGAATATGCTGCCGAAGAGAAGGAAGAGACTTTTCTTGGTCAGGCCACGGCTGCTATGGCAACGACACCTCCATGCCGGCGTCGCCGGTGGCGCCTTCGCAGCGACGCTCCTCTTCCTCGTCCTCGTTCTCCTCTCCACCTCAGCTCCCTCCTCGTCGCCACCGTCGTTGCGGGACAGCAGCGTCGTGTCATCAGGACGAAGATCCTCGTCTTCCTCGCCACCACCATCTGTCAACTGCGACGACATGACGGCGAGCCTGGGGGAGTTCGGCGACATGATGGTGTCCATGCTCCCCAAGAACCTCGCCTTCACCGTCTTCGTGCCCTCGCCGGAGTCGTTTCGCCGCGTCCTCAAGCTGCAACGCCCCAACGACAGCGCTACCAACGGGAATGGCGCCGATGATGACGCCACCTACGCCGTCGTCTCCCGTGTGCTCGGCTTCTCCGCCGTCCCTCGCCGCCTGCGCGCCGCGGACGTGGCACCGCCGCGCCACCGGCAGCAGATGGTGGCGGTGGCGCCTGTCCTGGAGTCCGTGTCTGGGCTGAGGATCTCCGCCTGGAGGAGGGACGTGGACGGTGCACTGGTCGTCAACGGCGTGCCGTCAGAGTGCGTGGATATCGTCAAGGAGCGGGATATCATTGTCCATGTCATGGCCGGCGTCCTCATGGATGCAGAGTTTGAGCGGTCTTTCTCTTCAGAATTTGACAATTGATCAACTAAGCAAATCCTATCATCCCTAGAGTTGTCATGTTGGTTTTTGTGTAACAATTAAATGTACATTGTTTTTTCTTTTTAAAAAGTATATAAATTTACAACGCATAATTCTTGTGCTTGAATGTAGGTAATTCTGTTTAGAGAGATTATTAATAGCCAGCCGGTGAAAATATGAAATAAACTGATTTCTTAATTTCCGGCTTCTAATTTGTTTTTCAATTCAGAATCCGAGTGGTAATATGAATTGTTTTGGGAGCTGAGATTTTGGAAAAAACTGCAGTCACCAAAAAATTCTCAAATAGGTCATATGTTTCTAATTGAAATGCAAAATCGGGAAAATGCAACTTCGAAAGAAACATATAGCCAAACCCGTTTTCCTTGGAAAGGGATACATGACTTGAACTTCTTCGTGATATGTCACTGACATGTAGGCATCTGACTTCACGTGAGAGGATCCCCTTCCGTTTTCCTCATATAGAACAGCACACTATTCACAGGGTCCAACACCAAGAGCCGAACAGGCCGAAAGCATGAGGTTAGTGGGCCGTTGAAGAATTCTGGAGGCCTGGTTGAGCAGCCGCTCCTCCATTCTCCCCACCTCTTCGGCAATCTAGCCGGCGTCCCAACTCCTCGCTGCCGCACCGCGGCGCGCACCACCATGGACGAGGACCGCGCGGTGGAGGCGGCGGCAAGCGCGTGGCCTGGCCCCTCCCGCCGCCGCCGCCTCATCGAGTTCCTCCTCCACGCCTCCACGGTACGGGCTCCCCTCCACCCCCTCAGCTTCCGGCATGGTCCCCTCGACAGCTACCTCACCTCGCATGCCGCCTTCTGCTGCGATTCCTTTCTAGCGGCTCGACCTCCGTCCCGTCGTCAAGTACACCGCGCTCTCCTTCTTCGCCGACCGCCTACTGCCCTCCCTCCGGAGGTGACCCCGCGAAGTTGAGACCTTGGTTTTTGTGGGGGTTAAATTGGTTTCTTATTGTTTTACTAACTTGCTCGCTGTCGCTGCAGGAAGATGGGGTTCTGTGGCGCACGGGGTGGCCGAGCTGTGACCTCCTGGCTGCTCGAGCCTCTGAGGGACAGCAACCTGGAGCTCTTCGCCCTCGTTGCCGTGTGGATCGCCAGCAAGGTGATTCTGTGAGCATTTGTTGAGCAAACGTCGTGTGGATTTATTGCCATGAGAGGTGGAATTACATTCCTTTTTATTTTTCATTTGGTTACCTGTTTAGATTCACGAGCTGAAGCCGCTGTCGGTGAAGAGCCTCAAGGCGCTTGGTGATCGCATCATCGCCGACCAGCATTTCACTTGCCGCGATTTCGCCAATGCTGTGAGTTATCGACGCATTGTTGTTCCTTGTTTGAAAGTTTTCTTGTAGTGGCTAAAAGGTGTTTGCTGTAATGCCACAGGAACTGGTGTTCATGGAGGTAATGCGAAATATATACAACTACATGGCGTGCTCCATTTCATTGTTATATTCCTTTTCCCCCTTCTATTATTTTCTTGTACTTCCATTGTCTAAAAAGATTATCTCCTTCTTGTTCGTGTTGTGGGTTCTGTAGGTAGTGGAATACAACATTGGGTCCTTGAACATTGCTTTTACATACCTAGAGGAGCTTCTCGTGCAATTCAGGTTCTTTGGATTGTTTAATATTTTTTTTATTGTTTGTAATGGACAGTTAGCAGTAGCACCACGTTTTTAGGCCTCAGGGCCAAGTTATAAAACTTGAGGGTGAATATTTGGAACTAATAAATACTTGACGAACATATCTTCTCTTCTAAGTCTACATTTATGGCTTCCACTGTCCACATCTATGTATTTGTGAATTATATTATATGTATATCACAACAGACAGCTGTACTGATTGGTCACTATAATCTGTTGCATTTATTTTACTCACCAAGCACAATCAGTGTATGCCTAGTTCCTTATAGCAGTTCTTACTTTTTAGTGCCAAAATTTTGCACTAGAAATGTTTAAATGTGTCATGTTAGTATAGATGATCTCAGATCATATTTAAAACTAGTTTTGTGATTCACTTGTGTTCTGAGGAAGCGAATAATAAAACAAAAGAAAAAGAATCTTTTGCTTCTTCATCCACTCTTCCCATTGGTCTTCCTTTCCCTTGAAAGACTGTCCTGCCAGGGTATCATTTGTTTTAGCAATCCTGTTTACCTGTATTAGTATTACCATCGCCGGACAGCATTATTAAACTACCAGTTTTTGCTTTTTTTTCTTGACTTCCTGATCTATGAGAAGCTTAACCATATAGTTTCTACTGATATATCACTTAATTTCTTGTCTATTGCCAGGGAAATATCCAAAATAGGTGATCTTTTAAATATGGATGTTTGCATGGAAATTTTGGATATTCTTTATGAGACTGAAGATAGTTCATGGCTTTTTAACTCTCCCTGTCAACTTGCTGCTTCAGCTCTTGTATGTTATTTAATGCAGCATTTTGTTACTGAGATTTTGTATAGACTGCTGAATTATGATTTATATGATGTCTCATTTCTTTTCAGGTTACTGCATATGCCATATCAGTTCCTAAGCAGAGATGGGAGTTCCCAATCCTTCCTTGGGGTAAGCTTTGGCCGCATATTTTACTCTATCTATGTATGTATGCCTGTATGGTCCAGAAGATGCACGTTGCTTAGTTAGGTTATTTCCTTCTCTAGTTGAGCAAAGAGCGTTATTTGTTTCTAACTTGTTCAATATCTGCACTTGGCAGTTACGTTTACGACATCATATGATGAAGAAGAAATCATGAAGGTTGTTCTGACTATTCTAATGCACGTGCTTAAACCAGATGAAATGAAAGGGAAGGGCGAGAGAGATTTCAATATCTGAGGTTTATTGTGAATTCTTTATGCGTAGAGCATGAGTCCCAGTTTTGCCGTTGTAAGCACTATTCTCATGTAACTGTAAGTACTGCTACACATGTTTGTACAAGGTTGTGCAGCCCGTCTATGCCCGACGACCGACATTGACACATTGTTGAGACTAAAATGTTGAAAATGCAAGGGAATTGCTTTTCAAAGATTAAAGAAATGCAAGGGAATTGAAGTAATGATGATTCAACTGAAATTCATGATTGGATATTAAGAAGTAACTAATATTTATGAGTGCCTTATTTTACCAATCGATTCTGTAAATACGTTTAATGCCATATGTTGATGAATAATGCTCACTGATAATTCTGTAAACATGTACAGAAGTATTGTCTTCTGATGTTTCAGCTTATGTGAATGATGCAGCTGTGCCGATGGTACCTCGAGATTACGAATGGACGTCACCTCATGTCTATGTGAGACCATCAATTTCCTTTCACTTGTTGTTTGTGGTAACAACGAAAACTTGAGTTTGGTTTTCAGCCTTGAAATGTGCAATATCTTGTCAAAAATATGAAACTGTATGATATATATAATGCATGGTTAAAAAATTCTAGACTGGTATATGGTATAATGATGATGACAATGACGGTACGCAAATGGATTTTGTTCAGCGCATCAAGGGACAGATGACCCGTCAACTCTCTTTGAGATCAGATATAATATCAAAGATAATTGTTGATTTCCTAATTCAAAGAAAATCCGATGGATAATTGGCGAATGAAAACACATACAAGGGGTCCCAAGAGTCGTTGATCAGTAAGGATCAGAGAGTATTGCTACATCCTACAACAAGCCATTGGATAATCGAACATTCTCTTGAGGAGAAAAGAAGCAAGCAAACGTGTATTCGAGTTTATTGATCATCAAATCAGGCATATATTGGTCCATAGCTAGACGATAAACATTGAAATTCTCAAGCAATTTCCAATCATTTTCCGGCTCCAGGTACTGTACGGCCGATGAAGAAACACGGCTTAAGGGATATATCATTGAACATCTGGTGTGAAGTCAGTGTCCAAGCATGCAACTTGCTTTCTAATTACAATTGTTCAACTAACACTATGTTTGGAGCTTGCTTCATGTTGTCAGAGACAAACAGAAACCAAGAAAGTATATTGAAATGGGATGAACAAAATTAGTTCATAGCTCTATGCCCCATTTGAAACTTCATCTTTTTTGCCTTTACAGCTATTACATCAAACCGAATTGATTTATGCTGCAACCAACTGAATCACGTCATTTTTGCGTTGTCAGATCATTGCACGGGAGCTTCCGTGATGGCGTATGCTTCAACATCCTTAAACCAGGATCACCACCAACCAGGGCACTCCGTCAGAAATCTCTCTGAACTAAAAAAACAGAAGGAAAAACCAGGGCACTTCGTCAGAAAATCTCTCTGAACTAGAAAAGAGGAGAAAAAGAGCTTCCAAAGCGACGATTCTTGTCGTCAGATTAAGATGTATCACCTGAAAATTCAGAAGTCCGGCAGCTCGGCAAGATGGGCCACACGTGTATGCTTTTGTAGCTCCTGCGTCCCTCTCTACTTTGTGCTTATATCTTTTTAATTAGAGCAGTTTCAGACATGGGATTTTCATGCCAATTTTTATCTCATTTTTAGTCAAACGAAACGATTTAGTTTTTTGTTTAGTGTCTGCCTGGAGGCTGGTCCATTTCGTGGACTCAATTTTCTAATATTAGAGTGCCCTTTTATGTTTACAGGAAGAGCAAGCCATCATGATTAACGACCTAGTGCGTAGGATTTGATATGTTTATATAGGCTTAATGATGACCAAAAATCAGTTCATGTTAGCTTGGAAGGTATCAGTAAAGTAAACTAAACCACCGGCGGGATTATTTGTCGCCTTTGTAAGTTGTTGGCTTGTTACATTGTTTAACTTTTGAAGCATTGACTAGTGTACATTTTAAACTAAGCAGAATCCCATGAGTCCCATGATTTGATTGTTTCTGATAGAGCCTTGTATATTGTTAGCTTCCGTTGTGGAGTCTTTAGTTTCTTACTTATCGAAATTTTATGGTGTAGAGGACTGGTTTTAATCAATTTTCTTTAAAAAAACAAATTTTTACGTTTGACGAGGGATATTACACAGTATGGCCTTTTCCTAGTCATGTATTATTCCCTCCCCAACTTTTCTTTTTAACTAATATGAAGGTTAAGAACTTTTTTGGATAAAAAGCATTTTTAATCTCACCAGTTATGCAGAGTTTTTTCTTCCTCTCAAAAAAAGGCATAATTTTTTCACTGTCACCTCTTCAGTTCTAGTATGGGTGGTGTACTACTCTGTGGTGTTGCAATATTCAGTTCTTTTCTGTAGAAGGTAGGGAAAATGGTGAGTTACAGAGGAGAAAATTTTAAAGGAAAGGGAACTTTAATTGTTTTAAGCAAAGTGCTTGCAACTACATATATTTGGTTCTGTAGATAGCTAGGGTGTTGAGATGCTCCCTTGCTGCATGTATTGCAATGCAAGCAACTTAGCCCACATACGTAGCCTGTAACTAACTACCCATTTCATGCATGTATTTGGGAAAAGAAACAGATATTATTTACTGATGAACATGAATTGCTTCTGCATGTGTTAGATAGCCTCAGGTTCTTACTTTAAACACCTGAAATAAATAATTGATCACCATCTATATATATACACATACCCACAGACAAATGATTGTCTAATGATTGACTATGCAAACCCAAAAAAAAAGAGAGAGGAAGGATTGTAACTGCAATATCCAAATTGATCTGAACTGTCCAAATTATGTACTAATCATTGTCAATGTGCAGACAGATACTTACATACGTAGACATTTGATTTTTGTCCAGTTCCTTTTTTTTTAAAAAAAGAAGGTATTTTGTTCAGTGCTTTCTCATTGGCTTGATGATAATTCCATGAACTAACTACAGCTGGCGATGTGAAAGGTGTATCTGAAGCTGGTAGAGGGTCACATTTCTTTCTTTTTCTCTGCTCATCTGTATTTCTCCTAGCGTAAACTGCATGCATATACTAGTATTAGTGCATTACCAATGTGTGGCATGCATTTTGGCAAGTAGCATGCAGACAGTGACACAAGGTCTACTCACTACTAAGAGTGCGACCTAAAAAAAATGACATCTACAGTCTTAAGATAATTGGCTCCAAAATTTGCAAGAAAAGCTAGCTATATATATTCCATGCCCACAAGCCCACAACTAAAGAAAAACTTTTGAGGTAATTAGGTTGGAATTGTGGACATGATAGGCCCCCCGGGAAGATAATGATATGATCATTTGTTAAGCAACCAAATCAAATGATTGGGGGTATTTGATTTACTTTAATTTGGACTGATTGGCCTGAGGGGCCCCAGATTACACCAGTAATGATAGCATTTCCTGATCTCAAAATGGTTGGAATTGGGGACAAACCAAAGCGGGTTGTTTGTTACTCAAATTTTTGGCCAACTTCCGAATGATGTGTAGGCTGGAGCTGAATTTTGCCTTCCCCTGCACTTCATCCACATAGATACTTCACTGGAAAACCATACGTGTCATCTGTTTCATCCTTTCTGTTGCACCACCAACCGATTGAGGCGATGGCAATCTTGCTCCATTTCTTCAACATGTACCAAAAGTGAAGAGGGCATGAATGTATTGATGTGTATTTATTAATAGTCACAAACATATGTGCAAAAAGGTTTGATGCTCTGGCAATATATATAATGTTCCAGATTGATCAACTGATCAGATGTAGGCTTCAATATTTCATTTTGCGATTTCCAAAATTTCCGGAAATTTTTCAGGAATTTAGGTTCCAGATAGGAAATTATTTTGGTTGAAATTTTCAAAAATAAGACAAAATTATTCAAATTTTAATTTTTTTTGTCTGAAATTTCCATGATTTCTGAAATTTTTCTTCTATCGTTAACCCCCGAAATATATTTTATTCCGAAATATAGAACCCTGATTAGATGTACACAAAATCACATTCATGTTCAGACATGAAAAATTCCTTCTGAAAGAAAAGAAATTTATGAAGTTTGTATAATTGTATGTGCACAAGAAAGTGCAGCGTAACCTTTCCTGCAGGCCGTGCCGACCAATGTACAGGTGGACAGGAAGACGTCAAACACACACACACAGATTAACTCAAAGGTACAAAATGACCGTTCATGTTTGCCATGGAATAACTCTTCAGGCTCAGAGGAGTACAGTTTTGTCCTACGCGTGTTAATCACTATCTGAAGGTATTGTATTATTTGCTAATTGCTCCCTCAACCGAAGACGCAAGGGAGCATCAAGCACGGCAGATGATACATTTGTCCTTTCGCTCCTTGTCCATCTGTACAACTGAAAGATCACAAGATCACAACATAAACAATCATAACACACCTTATATTCTGCTCTCTCTTTCCTAGAGGTTGAGAAGTTGGGGGGGTTCATGGATTTTTGCAGTCAAACACAAACTGGGAGTCTGCGATACAGACGAACACTAGCTCCAGAGAAACAGCAAAGTTAAAAAAAAGGGGGAAACTGCATGAAATAAGCATGTGTGAATTGTGAGTTGTGACAGGATAGTACTACTAGTGGCACTTGGATACTCCTATATCAGTTCTGCATTACTACATCCGTTCCAAAATATAGTAATCTAGTATGGGATGAGATCCACTATTATGTCCAGATTTATAGTTTATGATGTGTCTTATCTTATTTTAGATTGTTATATTTTAGAATAGAGGAAGTAGGTTTGTTTGACCAAACTAGAGGAGACAGCGATGGTGTACCATTGCAGAGATTAATGTCGAAGCAATGGACCATGAGAAGAAATGTCTGAATTCCTTCTTGGCAGAGAGACTGCTCACCTCTCTGCCGTAGACAACACATGCCAAATTGGCAATCCTTTCTTAAGAAGAAAATAAAGGATTTGTTTAGGGAGTTTTAGATTATAAGAAGCAGCTGATGAGAATCTAACTGATGAGAATCTGAAGAAGCTGAAAAAAAATCAATTTATGGCTTCTAATTCATCATCTAGATTCCAACTCTTATAATCTTAATTAAAAGTTAGGCCGTTAGAGAACTTTTGATTCTGAGAGAAGATGCAACTGTCAAATGCTTCTCATAGACCCATCATAGCTAAGTGGACGAAAAAGAGACAAAAATTACAAGGAAAATCTAGAATCTGAAGTAGCATAGTACAGTACTAGTACTGAGACCAGAGCTATTAGAGCAATCAATATGTGCGAAGTGCAGGATCTTCATAAGAAAGCATTGCAGGTAACACTCAAATCCGACAGTTTGAGAGAAGCTTCCTCCAATTAAATCAGGA